CGCGCCACCCTCATTGACAAGGATATGACTTTTCTCCCCGCCTTTGGTGTTTAAAGCCTGGTCCCTTTGGAGACTAACCCTTTATAGAAGGTACGTTGACGGTTCTGAACTGCTCACATTGAGGTTAGTAGTCCAACTTGTAACCACTACATCATCAGGGGTGAAAACAAGGAATTACTTTGAAATCTACACTGGTTTCAGCATAACCACACAAATAATTTAGTGACAGATTAAATGAGGTTTGGAAAAATTCAGAGATCTTAATAGGTTTACCAAATGCATCAGAAATCTTTTCTGTACTCAGCCACATGAAGAATAAAGTCTCCTGATGGAAGTTGAGATCTAAAACCTCAAAATACAGAATGGGCAGATTGTAATCCCCTTACCCACACCCCATTAAAACTCCCATAGGAGGTTGTATAAAAATTGAGTCAGGACATTTCCTGTGGCTCACACTGGTCATCTTATGCTAACTAGTTTGGCTGGAATATTAACAAAACCAAGCAAAGGAACAGTGTTGCACAAATAGAAACAAAGTGAACGGTTTGGTCGGAATATCCTTATTTAAAGAATAACAGCCTAACTTGGGAAATTCCTAATTGAATTTCTACACTCATCTGAATTTTTGAAACTCAATGTTTGTACCTTTAATAAAAAATGTTTCCTGGTTATGGAAATACCCAGCACTGGGTACACAAACCGATACATGCAAAAAGTATACACATACAAAATGCATTAATAATGAGGGAGGAAAAAAAAACACTCACAAAATTCATTTTAAACATTAGACTCAAGACCTGGCACCAGGGTCTTTTCCAAATGGCTATCACAATTAAATTTTAGACAAAATATCATACTGTTTCCAAAGACATTTAAAAACAAAAGGAGCCAATTCTGACTGTAAGTCTAAAATGGAGGGCTCTACATTTTAATGTGCGAGCTGAAATTGTGACTAACCTGCTCCCCTCCCACCCTGCCACCCCCTATTAACTGGTTTCTTATCACCAAGACTTTCTGAGGTAGAGTTACCAACCCAGTTTTATCAGGATGACTGTTGCATTGAGCTAATCCTCATAATTGTCTCAGGAAGTGAAAATAGTTTTCAAGAAAAAAAGGCTTCCCAAGCCATGGCACAAAAGATGTCTATAATTTTTAATGTAATAATTAAAAAATAAAAATGATCTTGTGCATTAAAAAGAAAAACACAAAGACCAAAACAGCCCAGCTGTGTGGTTCTGCCACCAAGCATTATCTTTAGGATCTGTCAGTGGTGAATTTTGTAGGTCGGCCCAGCAAGCCCCCAAGCTCGAGGAAGAGTGCTTTTATCCTGGGATGCACAACCGACTCAACCCTTAGCCTTCTCCTATGCAGGGCTCTCATCTGAGCAGGACACGACCAACTGAATCCACTCACACCACCTTGCCCTGTTCTGCCCCTCCATTGTCCTCTCTTCTCAGAAATGCCTTAAGTGCAAAAGTTGTATTTAACTAGTATAAGCACCACAATCTATCAATACCACAATATTGTTTTTAAACGGAAACATTTTAGTGATATCTTGGACTTTTTTTTTTTTTAAGTGGGTCTGAGTGTGTGGGTCCAACCCAGTTTTGCAGGTTTCTGGGTATAAGAACAAAAGGAACTTCTTATAGGCAGAGAGGTCAGCATGCTGGGTTTAAGGTGATGCTGGAAATGACATTCCTCCAGAGGGCTGGTATGCACGGGTTATTGGTCAGAATAAGAGTTAGAGGGATTTCCACAATTCCTAAGGAAAAAGACACATCCATGTTTGAGCACTGTGAAATTTCCATGGTGCCTTTGAGATAGACAGGCTGCTCATACTTTTTTTTTTTAAAATAAGGCCAATTCATTCAATGGTTGATGGAAGAAAGAAAACAGATGGACTGTATTTTAACCTATGTGAAAATTCTCACTCCATTAAAAATAAACTCCAAGAGGGTATTTGCATTCCAATCAAGTCATTGTTTTCCTGATTAATAAAAACTACACTTTACACAAAATACTTTATCAGCAGCTGTTTTCATCAAAAACAAAAAAAACCCCAAAACCCCAATAATCATAGTTTCACAGTTGAAAAAGTTACACATTAAAATATTTTACAATTCATTATATATTCACCAGGTCCCCATTTCCTAATGGGCTTATAATATAAAGCAGATCAGAAAGGGCAAACCTCAAAGTTGATTATTTCAACACTAAGTTTTACAGAGGACAGTAAGAACCCAGAGGAAGCTTAGGTTCTATGGTAAAACCACAACCATCACTCCTTAAAAAATCCAATTAAAAACATTTTCTTTAAAAAACAAAAATAAAAACAAATCCCACAATATGATGAACAGATTTCAAATGAACAGCAGTCTAAAAATCTTCAAAATGAATGTTTTTCTATAGCCCAGGATATGGTAAAAAGCCAGAGCATGATTTTCTAACAGTTGATTATCTCTTGCTACAATGTGTTTACAATTTTTGTTTCTTTTAAACCTGCTCTCCTTTTTTTTCCTCTATCAAAATAATCCCCGAAGGAATTATTTCTTGAAGATATAATGACTTTTTAGAGCCAATAATCAGTTATACCACATAAAAGGAATAGGGTAGCTGGTCACAGGAATGGACCAACCCCGGAGGATTGGTCCTGAGAACTCATGTACCGGAAGCAGCTATGTTACCACTGCCTCACACAGACTAGTCAACCCATGTAGCACACAGTTCAGGTTTGGGTTCCTTGCTTCTTGTGTGTCTTTTTATTTTTAATGTTTGCTTAAACTCAGCTTCAGTTTATTTAAAATTCGCGTTGCTTTTAGATTATTTAACCCATATTCATTAGAAAATTTGTCGATGCTTCCTCAAACAGAATTTGGTTGTAATGACACTTGAAAAAATAAATGTACATTATGAAATGTTATGTGGCTTACGTTTGAATGGAGAGGTCCCAGGGGCAAACAAACAAACAACTATCCGGACTGTTGTGAACAACACACACTTTTCTAAGTTTTATGGAAGGAGACTCAAAGCTTTTTTTCAGTGTTCAATAAAACCCAGATCTCTGTGACGTCTTTAGTTTCCACCAGCAAAGCTTTAGATTTCACGTAGTTTTCTTCCCTCGAATCAATCCCTGATAGAAAAAAGACTGGGATATTAGTATGTTTTAGTTACCTATATCTAAAAGATAAAAACATGAATTATGAAGTTTTCATAAGCTATTAAGTTGTCTGTATCTGCAAAACAATCTATCTGGTTCCTGCTTAAAACAGAGCTTAAAAATTTCTGAAAAAAAAATTTCTGAACTCTTTCAAGATAGTTTACAATATAAATTTCCCTAATTTTCAGATTTATTTTTCTCGTTGGCAACATTATGTACATGCTTTAGTGACAAACCTAAGGCTCCAATAAGCATGCCCTGTATGGGTTCTAAAAGAGCCAAATATAATGAAAAGTATTTGTCTTAGAGTCCCTTGTTCTTTATTCAAGACTTCTACTATAGGCCACTAATTTCATAAATGGATATTTTAAAAGTGATACTGTTACTAGAGAATACGATGTGCATTCTTTATAAAGTTGCCCTCCAATAATATGACTAATCTAGAAAACTCTAAGTAAATTATTGCACATTTCTTGGTGTGGCACCTGGACATTTGCTAAAGCTATTCCCTAGGGCATTAAGCATTCACTTCAAACACTAATAAAATAACATTTCTAGAGTGGTGACTAACATTAGCCCCTATATCTTGGGTTAATGTTTTTCACAATGTTTAAGATTGTGTCCTGTGTTCAAATGCAATGTAATACAAGTGGAGATTGATCCCTAAGCACAGAGAACTGAGACATCATCCTACAATGCTGTACAATGCGCTATCATCGAGACATGGATAGATTGGTTAAAAGGTTAAAAAAAAGGTTCTTGGTTTATATTCCACCATGTTATAAAGTATTAGTCATGAGTATACCTCAGTAGAAGGCTTTAAGCAACCAGGCAGACAGTTTAATTCATTTCGGATGATTCAGCCATTCTCAGCTCGGGAAGAGGATGGAGGGTGAGGAGTTGATGTGACAACAGAAAGGAGGGACAGGCAGAGATGACGTTTAGTCTGTCTTCCTGATGCAGTTAGGTATCTACTGGTCACTGGTCTGAACAGCACAGAGCCCGAGTCTCACTCTCAGACTGAAAACTGATCGTGGTGTTACGAACAAAAAATGTGGGGTGCAAGACAATGCATGACTATGGGACAGATCGTGTAAATAAAGAATATATATTACTGATAGTTTCTATAATATAAATAGTCTTTTATAAAAAAAATAATCTTTTTAATAACATTAATACTCACTTCTATTTTCTGGAAAACATGCATGAAAATGAATTCAGTTCGATTGAAAAAGTAGGAAATAAAGAAAATCAACTTACGGTGAATACTGTACAATATGGAGCAAGAACTATTCCCGCTCCTTCTCTGACTTGTTTGTTTGTATGTTTTGGGGTGAGGCCCAGAATTTCTCTGGGGAAGTAAGAGCAGATGCTTGTAAATTCTGTCCAGAAAAACGTGCCTGCACACACCTTAGAGCAGGTTCTCATTTGTGACTGCTTCCAATACTCTGCGGTTCAGACCCCAAATCATTAAAAGGCGTAATTTATGAAAAAGGAAACACTTTCTAGTGAAATCTTATGAGTTTTTTTCACACCAAGTATTTTCCTTCATTAAACAAGGAGTAAAACAAACAAACAAAAAACTCACTTCAAATTATAAATCGAGCAGCCATGGAAAAATGATTTTTCATTCTTTTCCAATTGTATGTAATCTGACATCAATCTTCCGTTTACTTAGACCTAGTGTATTAATTGACTTTGTTGCATCCACATTAAAACATAGACCGTATGCAGGACAAAAAAGATCATTCTTTTTCCTTCTCCATCATTTCTATATATTTTGGGGATTTTTTTGTTTTGCTTTGTTTTTTAAAAAAGGATACAAACAATCTTCAAAGTTTACCTTTTGGGACTTTAAGGCATTACATAAAATTGCGCATTATTCTAAAGCTTAATTTTGAAGTCAACTAGTTTAGTGCTATCAAACCCTGTTTGCGTTTACATTATTTAAATTAGATAATATTTTATTTTTGTTCTTGTTGTAAATTGTAATGGGTCATGGATTGTGCAATTCCTATGCAACCAATCTTTGCCTGCTGATAGTTTTTAACAGTGCAGTGCAGAATCCAGCAACTGGATGTTCAGTTTCTCAGTTCTCACTTCAGTTCAAAGCATGTTGCTTAATTGTGTGGAAGATCCAATCCATTTTTGTTGTCCAGCCGCCATGATGTGCGTCATTCATTTGTTTCATGAAATATTCCAAAGCCTCCTGCTCAGTTTTATCCAAGGCTAGGGTCTTTCGAATGTATGCAATATCATCAAAGGATTGTAGCTCAGGCATTCCAGAGCCAAGCATCATTGAGAAGAGGTTTATGAAGAGATTGGCATGCTGCCGAATAGCTAGGTAAGCCTTGTAACACATCTCCTGAAACCTGTCAGTAAGAAAAACAGTCGAGTCAGCAATGGTGCAAATGGGCCTTCTTACCTGTTGGTCTTAGCACAATAGTCACATCCCCAGAGAGGTCTTTGACAAACTGAAATAACAACCAGACCAAACCCTTAGCTCTTCTTTCTTTGCCAACGACTTGCTATTCCCTTTACTTCACTGGAATGTGAGATCCATGAAGAGAAGGTTCACTGCTACAGCAATGCCTGGGACATTATTATTTGCTAAATGTCAGATTGGCTCAAACTAAAACCTTAAGGGTTTATGCTAGGAATGAGTTATAGATGAACTGACTTTTATGAAAGACTTTCTTCTCTCTTTCCCCAGTACTTTAAGGTTGGAGATAGTCCTCATATACCAGAAGGTGGCAAGAATAATTATATCTAAACATGGCAATTAATGTCGACCAATTTTTCTCATCTTATACAATTAAACAAGGTGGTAAGCACTATATATTATTGCCAACATGGAGAAGGTGGAGACCGATTTAAAATGCAGTAAACAATAACTGCTGATATATTAGGAAGTTTAAGGATCACTTTCTTGAGGACTTAATTAACTCAATATATTAAATTGGTTTCCATTTCTATTTTTCATCATAGCATTAAACAAATCAACAACCTATTCAGTTTGTGCTAAAATGGAAATATAACACCTATTATTTTAAAATATATGAGAAAGACCAAGTGTTTTGGAGAGAGTAGAATTTTTCAGTCTGTGCTTTTTGATTTCTTAAAATTTACCTTTCAAATTCTCTTGTTTTTGTGCATTCTTGGGCTCCTTTACTAATGACTATCAAGAAATCTTGTGTTAAAACAAATGGTACACGTTCTCGTTTGTAGCCAAATTTTTTCTTCTTGTGATCCAAAAAGTGTCCAAAATCTATATGAAACAGCTTTCAAAAATAAGAAATTGTTACAGTTTAATGTATGCAGAAATATAATACCCTGAATTGATAGATTTCATTTACTCACTGCCACTGAGTGGCTCGGGGTAGAATTGCCCTTGGGGTTTCTGAGGTTGTAACTCTTAATGGGAGTAGAAAGTTTCACTTTTCTCCCATGGAGTGGTTGGTGGTTTTGAACAGCTCAAGGCATAACCCACTACACTACCAGGGCTCCTTAAATTTAGTTAGGAACATCATAATAAGAAAAGGAAGCTTTTATTACTTGTCCATCATCTTTAACCATGATGTTACTATTGTGACGATCTCCAATTCCCAAAATGAAGGTGGCGACACAATATCCAGCACACGAACGTGTAAACAAGTCAATGGCGGCATCATATCTACAGAAAACAATAAATAGCTATGAGTTGTTTAGTGGCACACAACGATCCAGCCCACGTTAGGAATGGATGGCCAAGTTTCTATCTTAACAATGAAAACAATGACAGCAGGGGAAGGAAATGCTCATATTCATCAGATCTAAGGAACCCTAAAATTCCTAAGTTTTGAAGGGTTTCTACGGAAGAAATTTCTGTATCTTCTTCAACCAAAGCATACTTATTACTATAATCAAAATATACTTTCTATGTCATTAAAATGAATGCTTTAAACAAATTAATCAAATAATAAATTACAATCGGCATTTCCCCCTAAGACAAACAATGAATAAACACATTTTAGATATATAATATGAATGGGCATGGTTTTTAAAAAATGATAAGCAATTCTGAACATCTAAATACAATAATCTCAAGTATTTCAAAGACTGAGGATACCTTTTCTTAATGTAAACAAAATTGTTTCCATCTTTGGTCTAATTATGAAGAACCAGTAAAACCACTGAAAAACTGGTCTAACAAAAACCTAGGCAAACCCAGTAAGAAATGAAAGCTCACATCTCTCCTTTGTTCTTGTCTCTGAGCCACTGGTGCAGCGTGTGGCTGTTGAACTGGAGTGCGCCTTTCAGGCCTCCTTTGCACTGAATCTGCATAATAGTGTGAGAATTTCTCACCACCTCAATAAGTCCCACACAGTCACCGATTGACAGACAACCATAAGGTAACATCCTGAAAAATGAGCAAGACATTTACAACGAATTGAATGCCCTTTACAATAGCAAACACTTTAGTCTGATAAATATCACTTTAAAGAAAATCATGGTGGTAAGTGGAATTTGTTAGACATTGATGATTTTGAAAATACTGGTGAATTTAAAGATGTCAAATTGGCATCTAACACTTTGACATTTACTTGAGAGGAGCCATTCTCGAGCATTTGATCTCAGGACCCCTTTCCATTCTTACAGTTATTGAGGACTCTGAGAAGCTTTTGTTTATGTAATCATACTTACTGCTATGAGAAATCAAAAGAGTATAAAAATCTTAAGTATTTAGGGGGAAGATAGAGGGAACTGATTACAATGAGCTACCTATAACCCCCTCTCAGGGGAATGGGTAACAGAAAAGTGGGTGAAGGAATATATTGGTCAGTGAAAGACATGAAAAAATAATAATTTATAAATCATCAAGGGTTCATGAGAGAGGGAGGGTGTGGGAAGGAAGGGGGAAAATGAGGAGCTGATACCAAGGGCTCAGGTAGAAAGAAAATGTTTTGAACATAATGGTGGAAACAAATGTACAAATGTGCTTGACACACTGTATGTATGTATGTATGTATGTATGTATGTATGTATGTATTGTGATGAGAACTATGAGCCCCAATAAAATGATAAAAAAAACTTAAGTATTTATTGATTCATTTAAGAATAAAATAATTAATATAAACCATGTATTTTAATGTATGAAACAAAATATGTATTTTTCCAAAACTAAAAATACCTAAGTGAGTAGTAGGGTGACATTCATATTTCTTTCAATGTCTTAATTTTCTGCTGGATTCTCATATCTGTTTCTGAATAAATCTAATGAAATATTTAAAATGTATAAAGAAAACCCATCCTCACACAGGTGTGTAGCTGGAGAAGGGGGCCATTTGTAGATAATGTTTCTTTGATACTTCAGGCAGTCCTCAGGTTATGAGTGAGATCTGTTCCCAAGTGTCTTTAAGTTGAATTTGTATGTAAGTTGAAACAGGTACACATGGTTCCTGTTGAACTTTACCTTACTGCAAGAAAGAGTTTTGGTGACTAGGGGGTTAAGCATGAAGCTTAAGGTCAGTTGCTGATGCTTTAAAACAGGGGTTCTCAAACTTTTAAAACAGGGGGCCAGTTTACTGTCCCTCAGACTCATTGGAGGGCCAGATTATAGTTTAAAAAAAAAACAACTATGAACAAATTCCCTATGCACACTGCACATATCTTATTTTGAAGTAAAAAACAAAACGGGGCAAAAGCACCCGGTGGCCTGGATAAATATCCTTGGTGGGCTGCCTGTGGCCCGCGGGCCGTAGTTTGAGGACCCCTGCTTTACAACGTCCACATACGTCAAGCAAAGGTGATTGTGATGGAAGAACTTGTTAAGAGTTGGAGCTGGGATAATCAAGCCAAAGTGAAGGTACAGTTACAGAAGGCCAGGTCTGAGTTGTCCGTAAGTCAGTAACTTGGCTACTGCCTGTATTCCAAAACTTGGTAAGTGATAAATAAGCTGCAATATGAATTCTGAAATATACTGATAATTTTTCATACTGTTAGATTAAAATACATCATCTGTCTTGCCTTGAAATAGATCTTTGACTCATACATGACTTTATAACACACTGCGCTGGCCATTATTTCACTGAGTTCAGATCTTTGAAATGCTGATACTTTTTATTATGCTACATTAAAAAACCACAACTGTCAATATTATCACCAATCCCATTCGGGAAGTCTCTAAGTTTGGGAAAACTGCTATACTCAGTGTGACTGGTAAAAATTTTTAATTTTGAAGATTCTAATTTTTGCTTAAAAAGTTCAAATTTTATCACCGGCAACAAAAACTGAAGTACTCCTGAAAGATACAGGTTTATAGAACAAAAAAGAAGTCAGCCAAATACTCTTGTCTAAAGAATCATAACTTGTCTGTTAGTTATCCTTTAAGTGCATGTGGAACTCCATGAAAAAAGCAGCTAGCTGCGTGCATGACTAAGGTGCTCACCCAAATGGCCTCCTGGCAGTGAGGATTGTCATGTGTGGAGGAAAGGTAGTACTTTGGTATGTAGCAGGCTACTTCCACTAAAGAACAAAGCATCAAAAAGACAATGTAATTAAGGGCGGCAACGTGAGGATTTAAAGAGATCATGGGTAAAAAAAAAGTACCTAATATCCCAATTGGCATAAACATACTCAACATATATATTTTCATGTTTGGTTACCCCCATTTGCTACTGTCCATTCCTTCCACCTTTCATTTCCTTTTCAAGTTCCAAAAAGTAATAATCTGTACTTATTTTCATTTTCTCATGCAACTCCTTGCAGCCTAGCTTCTAATACTACCATTTTACGTAGTCAACTTCATTTTATTTTTTCCATTCCCCATCATTTATTTAGCACTTACTATGTGCCAAGTGTTTTGTAAGGTACTAGCTAAACCAGCTACTGCCGAGTCAATTCTAACTCATGGTGACCTCATATATGTTACAGCAGTGTGGAGGAATTTTATTTTTTATCAGTTATTTCTTGTTGAGTATACACAGCAGCACACCTAACACCAGTTCAACTATGTCTACATGTATGTCTCCGTGAGACTGGTTCCATTCTGCAAGTTGTGCAATCATCCTCACATACCATTTCCTAGTTGCCCCTCCTCTGTAACATAAAGTCTCTGCCTTGTAAGTTTCTTATCTAATCTTTCGAGTTGCTGTGGTTAATTTTGATCCCATATAAAGAGGTCTTAAAAAAGCATAATGCTCAAGGCAGACATTCCTTACAAGATAAAATTAAAACCACTGCTAGATTTTAAGAAAATTCCATGGAATATTTTTGGTTTAAGGTTTAGAGATGAGTTTAAGACAATAGTTTCAGAGATTAATCTAGCCTGTATGGCTCCAGAAAGTCTGGATTCTTTGAGAATTTTCCATTCTGTTGTCAATTCTTCTTGAAGTTAACCAGGAATCACCAAAGGGCTTTTTCATAATTCTTAAGTACTTAAACTCCATCCCCCAAGCACCCGACACTATAGATACCTCTGTGAATCTCTGCCTCTTGGGTCCTGCTAACTTCAACTTAATTGATCATTTATTTTATAGAACCTGCACCTGATAAATGTTGGAACTTCTTAAAACTGTATTTTGCTCATTTATTCTTAAGATAAATTAAAATTTTTTTATGATTGTCAAATCTATTCATACTTTAAAGAATCAATTGTCCTAATCCTACAGGGCTTCTTGTTATAAAAAGCAAGCATTTTATAATAAACCTACATCTGAGTTTTGCCAAGAATAAATAAAAATGCTGCTGAGAATTTACTTAGGGACATTTAGAAAGTACCGTACTTACTTAAGTATAAGCCAACCTGACTATCAGCTGAAGCACCTAATTTTACCACAAAACTGCATAAAAATGTTCTAAAAAACTTGGTTTATACACGAGTATGTACGGTATTCTAATATGTCCAATGATCTTGCTTACCTTTAGATGTTTTATAAAAGTCACTAATTTACAATTAAATATTGTAATTAGTAGGGTCAGCTTAAGTCTTTTCTTTAGGCTTCCTAGTTTTTACTCCTTTCTCTTGTCTACTCTACTCCCACGGAGGGTGGTAGTGGTTAGTAGCATGAGGATCTCAGAAAACACAGTAAATCACTTTAAAAAGGAAAGTTCATTCATATATAGCATTAACTGCCTTTGCGAAGTAGCAGGGATTAAAGCGAAGAATCAGGAGCTAAAATTCTGCAGTCAACGAGTTACTTTTATGATCTAGCAAATTACTTGCTAGATCAATACTTCCCCAGATCAAAGTCACTGCCATGGAGTCAGTTCTGATGCACAGAGACACCAGAGGGTAGGCAGAACTGTCCTGGTTTTTGAGGCAGTAAATCTTTATGAGAGTAGAAGGCCTCCTCTTTCTCCAGAAGGATGGCTGGCGGTTTCGAACTGCTGACTCGTGGTCAACAGCCCAGTTAGTAACCCAGTATACCACCAAATTTCTTATTTCAGAAAACACAAAATCTATGTCTCCAACCACCCAGTTAGTCAGTTGATTCTGATTCATGGTGGCCCCATGTGTGATATAGAACTGTGCTTCACAGGGCTTTCAATAGCGCATTATTGGAACTTTCTTATGAGGTGTTTTGGACACACTTGAATCTCCAATCTTTTGGTTAGTAGCTGAGCACATATTTGTTACTGATACACTTTTTACATATGAGCTACATTTAGACATGCAAGTAAACATTCGTCTGGTATTACACATGAATCGTATACCCACTTACTAACAATAGGCACGGCACTGTCAGCCGGGGTAGTCTTTGACCGACCAAGTCTAGATTTGCAAAGAGAAGGGAAAACTACGGCACAAAACAATGACGAGGATAAGATCAAAAGGTGACAGAAAACAGAGATCATACTGATCATAGTGAAAGGCTGGGCGGAAATCAACAGATGGGCAAAAAACCCCTTTGTATTGGTTAATTTCACTACAAAATTGGTTCAAGATTAGAGGATTTATAAAGTTTTAGAACTATGAAATTTGTATTATGAAGGAGATGTTTTTTAAAAACGCTAAGCCCCAAATGGACATAGGCTTTTTTGTCTTTACGTCCTGTTCCTACTGCTGAGACTGCAGAGACAGCTGCAGTACGTTCTGGCTTACTAGGGATAGTCCTTACCTCCACCTCATTAGCTACCCCAAACCAAGTAACAGGCGCACAAATCAAAGTACATTTGCAAAATTAACTGCTACCGCCATTGCATGCACTTCTTTATAGACATGTGTCTTTATGTGCTTCCAGTAGCGCACTTTTTCAGAATATGTTAATGTTCAACATACAATGCTGCCTTGTTGTCTACTTACCGAAGATCAAGACCTTGATTTTGCCAGATATTTTCCATTATGCGAATAATTTGAAGTGTTAACATATCTTGCCGCAAATCTGAAATTAAAGCAGTATGTATTACCATTCAATGCCACAAATGAAAATCTGGCTAAGATGTCATCACAGTATTTTTAAACAGCAACCAGAGCTATATTTAACTCTTCAAAATAATCTATATAAAAAAACACTATCCTCATTCCTTAACCTATTTCTAAAGTGTCTGCACAAGAACTTCTGAATAACAATGCAACATAAAGCTAGTTGAGATTTCACATAATTAATTAAGAAATGTCAAGTACTGGTTTTTCCAAATCCTTAAATACGAATATGTATTTGTATTGAAATACCGAACCAACAGAATCTGTCATTTTTTCAGAACCCTTTCTCCAAATTATCTATGACTGTCTTTTACAGGGGTCCTTGGCAGACTTCATGCTTTTCCTTATACCATCATCATGATTTTAATTTGGTAGCTTATTGTTTAATGTACCCCTGTCCCGTTAGAGTGAAAACCTCTAAGAGAGGATGTTGCTTTGAGAGCCACAACCCCATGGCCTACCACTTTGAACTACTATGGAATGAATAACACATACATATTTTACAGGTTAATACAACTGTGTGCTATTATATATTCTGTCACATGCGCATTCCTTACATGGTTTTCAACCATGGTCTTCATGGTTCATAAATAGCCTGTATAAAAAGAGATAGCTAAATTCATGCATCATGAGTTCATTAACACTTTGCCTTACCATCCCCATTTTTAAAGATGATCTCATTGTTCTGAAACAGCAACTCGGACATGATGTCTGGGTTCTCCCAATTCAACCACAGCGGCCTTTTTGCCGAGGACATAATCCGACACTCTTCGAGCCTTCAGAAGAGTTTAAAACTTCACTAGGCATTCGGTTTTGTTACTATTTTTTCTATCAATTATATTTTAAGATAATAAAAACATAGATTTCTGAAGTGATTAAAATGAAAAGCTTTCTCAATTTATATTTTATGAATTAATTTTTCAGTAAGTACAAAAAAAACAAATGAGTTAGAAATTTTTCATATAATGGCAATTGAATTATAAACAAATATTGGATATATCTGTTTAATAGCATTTACAGTCCATTTTATCCTATAATACGAGGAATTCTGCTACAGAGCATTTAAAATCCCAGTATTAAAATAGAAACAAACTCAGTTGAAATACAAGCAGTTCTGAAATTAAGATACTTTTTCTACTCTTATAGAGTAGAATAAAAGGAAGCATATATAATCAAACCATCTAGTTGTGATAGGTATTTTGACTTTTCTTGAGGTTTTGTACAGAAAGGGTGCTTATTTAAATACTTCCACAAAACTTCCCATAAAGTCCCGTACCTGAGATTTCCGAGTTGGTGAGCAGGGTTCAGAGGTGAGAGAAAGCCCTGTAGAGCATCCATGAAATCGGGTCGCCTCATTTGCTCAACTAAAAACTTCATTTGTACCTGATAAAGAAACAGAACCAAGGTTCACATCGGATTCCATTAAAGGTAAAACTAATTACGAGTCTCAGTTATACACCTATCTATCAAGAGTACACACAAGCTCAGTCCTGTGTGCTCTCTGAATCCATATGCTGGATCGGCTGTGGGAATGAGGAAGGTGCTGTAAAGGAGAGGGTATGGTAACTCAGGACAAGAGGCAAGAGTGGCAGCACCAGGTGCCACAGAAGCAGGGCTATGGCTCTAGAGCAGGGGTAGGTCAACGACCGCCTACAATCAAGTTGTATTGGAGAACAGCCATGCTGGGTAACTGACATTACTGGCCCTGATCCTGGAGGACAGCCATGCTGGCACACTTACGTTGTTGCCCAGGATTGCTTCTTGTGCTGTAGTAGAACTGAGAGCGGACAGAGACCACATAGCCTGTAAAGTCTAAAATAGTTATCATGGAGCCCTTAAGAAGGCTCACCTTGCTCTAGAGGAAAGGCTAAAGAGGCATCATCTTAGTTTCAAAGCAGTATATTTAGCCTTTTGGGTCTAGCCTGTTTTTAGCCTCTGTCGGGTATAAAAGAGGTCTAGTGAGGTTTAAGGAAATGGAAAAAGGACTGGTTAACAAACCTTGGTTACACTGTATCTCACACTATGCCCAGGTTCTAGTCTGAGAGGGAAAAACTGGAGAGGAGAAAAAAAATCAGAGAGATTGAACAAATTACACTGTTTGTATTGACAATGCTTACTTCACTACTCTAGGCAACTGAAATCTGAAACAGTTTACTGTGGAACATGGTGAATGGACTGAAGGAAGGATAAAATAAAAAACCAAACTCCCTGCCAACAAGTTGTTTCTGACGCCTTTGACCCCCCAATACAGAGCAGAACTGCCTTGTAGGTTTCCATGGCAGCAGTGTGCCACATCTTTTTCCCTCAAATGGCAGACAGCTTCAAACTGCCTACCTCTTGGCTAGCAGCACAGTGCTTTACCCACTGCACCATCAGGGCTTCACAAAGGAAGGATAAAGAGGAGGCAAAGTTCAGGAGTAGGCATTTATATTTACATTGTATTTCACACTCCTCAGTTAAATTAGTCTTGCAGATTTTAGCTAGACTGAGTAGACTAGTATTATATGAGTCCATTTTAAATTTAGAAACATAAAAATGAATTACTTTTTAGCCATTTTCAGGGTCACTACTAGAGGCACATGGAGCTCTGGTGGTGTAGTTGGTTATACATCAGGCTGATAATCTCAAGGTCACCAGTTTGAAATCACCAGCCACTCCAAGGGAGAAAGATGAGGCTTTCTATTCCTCTAAAGAGTTACACTTTTGGAAACCCACAGGGCGCAGTTCTACTCTGTCCTACAGGGCTACAGTGAGTCTTTTTTGATCTGATGGCAGTGAGGTTGAGTTTACTAAAAGATATGACACAGAACAAGGAAAGATCACTTGAAAAAGCATATGGTTCTCTGAGAGACAAAGGAAGGGAAGGAAGAGGGAACTAACATGTACTGGCCACTCCTCATGTTCCAAAGGAGCCGTGGTGGCCCTTCTGAGTAGGCGTGGGACTCCTAACTACAAGGACAGTGGTTCAAACCCAACAGCTGCTCTTCCGGAGAGAGATGAGGTGATCTGCTGCCATAAAGATTTAAAGTCTCAGAAACCCACAGAGGGTTTCTATGAGTCAGAATCAACTCAATGGCAGGTCTTTGGAAAAAAAATTATTTTGGCCCATGTTCCTGGGTCTGAATAGGTGTTTCACGTCTCTCATATAATTGAATTCTCACAAAAATCCTGTGAAGAAAGTATAATTCCCTTTTTACAGATGAGGAAATGAACTTTAAAAGCCTAAATAATATGATGAACATTTCACAGCTAAGAGGCAATGCAAAGTGGATCTAAATCGTAATCTGCTTGATTCCAAGGATCATAATCGGTATACAAGGGGTACTAAAATAAACAAACCCGATGCTCATTTGCTTTTTGATGTGAGGGGCATAGTGCATTTGGAGTTCGTTCTATCAGGTCAGACTGTTAGTCAAGCTTTCTATTTAGAGGTTCTGAAAAGATCGCGTAACAGTGCGCGAAAAGGCCTGTTTTGTGGCAAACAGGGAACTGTTTTTGCCACCACAACAAAGCATCTGCTCACACAGCCATCTCAGTGCACCAGTTTTTGGCAAAAACAGCATGCCTCTCTTGCCCCATGCACCTGACTCACCTGACATGCAACTTTTTGTTTCCCCGAATGAAGATTTACATGAAAAGCCTGATTTGATGACATAGAAGAGGTGAAGAGAAAACACGGGTGTTCGGTATTGTTTGGTGAGGTCAGCCATCCAAGCAGATGAGTTGGAAAAATGTTTCCAAGAAGGGTATCACACAGATTTGACAAATGTATAAAGTGTAATGGAGAGTACTTTGAAGGTGATAAAGTTGTTTTGTAAAAAATTTAAATACATAGCTTTGAAAAAAAAATTCCGTTTTTTGAGGGGACTCCCCCCTTGTATATACACCGAATTCCCAAACCGCCCTGTTGAGCATGATAATAAAAAATGAAGGGGAAATAAACATGGATTAAGCCTCCAGTGAATCTTGTGTAGCCACAGACCAGGGACGAGAATAGTCTATCATGCTGAATACACTGAAAAGTGCTTTATTCCAGATGAAGTTAGGTCATCATTTGATCTCCCCTTTGATCCATTTTAAATTTGTTCTAGTCTAGTTTTAAATATTTTCTCCTTCCTTTTCAATTGAAGTTTTAATGTTTTACTTCATTATTGTTGTCAGTTTTGTTTTAAAAAAATCTTTTTTCTTCTGTCTATGAAATCTAGGATAGGCAAATCTATTGAAACAGTCATTGATTAATGGTTTTTGGAGGTAAGGCAGGGGAGGTTGGGAGGAAAACAGGGAGCTGATAACAATGAGTACAAGAACAATGAAATGTTCTCAAACTGATTGTGGTGATGTCTGTATAACTCTTCTTGATATGACTAAATTAAGGGACCAATGGCCCCGGAGGGACATGGGAGTGTG